TGCTCAGCTTGGTATTAGTTTAACAACAAAAGGAAATAAACATAAAAGCTGTACTTGAGCAAACACCAAAAAGGGGATCACTACATCTGCTTCTAGCGTGAGAGCTTCAGAGACAAATCAATATAATTAGAAGCAGAATCTCCATAGGCTGCAGCAGTGATAGAAGAAGCTTCACCACCACCTACACCAACTGAACCTATTGTGGGCAATTCCAGCTCCTTGGGAGTAGTGCCTCTGCCATCTTTTCCTGGGAAAAACTCATATTCCATGAAAACCCTGCCACTCGCTGAGTTTCCCCTCCTGTGAACCGCAACAACCTCTACATTCTAACATAACAAAAAACCAACCAATTTATAAGCCCATTTATTAAACAATCTTAATTTCAAAATGTACACAGTTTTCTAAAAAATTAGCTACACTAAAGAATAATGTTACATTAAACATGTAGCAACATCCATCATAAAATAAATCAATAGATGTGAATCTACCTCATCATTGGGAGTTGCACAAGCATAAGCACTAGCAGAATCATGCCTGGCCAGTTTGTCATAGAAATCACCGGTTTCCCCAACAAGGCTTGAGACAGAAGATTGGGGCATAAATCCTAGAAAATCATGGCCATTGGGCCATATCTCTAAAGTCCTCTCCCTCCTTGCATTTGATCCCTTTTCATTGTCTTCATTGAATCGTGTTTTCTGAGACAAATACAGCAATACACATACACACACAAAAATGCTCAACAAACAATGAACATAAAAATATTCAACACTAGGATTATCATCAACATTCAACAGAAATTAAACAAAAACATTCTTAATCACAAGCCGTTAATGAGAAGCATGATTGCTTGACATCCAAATTAATGACCTAACATATAATTTATTTATTCATACACATGCCATGGTGTTGAAGGGAGTGATGTATACCTTTAGGCAAAAATCAAAACATTCAGGTTGAGAATGGAGATTTGGAATTGAAGAGAGCTCTTTCGAGGTCTCGAGAGGGGTTCCAACTAAAAGTGGAGGACCAGATCCATAGGAACCATTACCAACAACCCTGTTAGGAACTATCCAGCTCCCACCAATAGTGCTGTTTCCACTGATCACATGTTGTTGATGGCACTGAAACTGAAAGCCAAGGTTTGGTGATGGGTGGCGCTGAAAAAGTTGTTGTGGATGATGATGATGATGATCATGGAGGGTAGTTACTGGTGGTAGTACTCCAGAAGAGCCTTCACTCATCTTCTTCCAAGACTCTTGAATCCTCAACCTTTCTAACTGAGCCACACCCAAACCTCTCTGGGGTGGCTTCTTTGGACCCTTCCCATTTGTCCTCCTACTCCTGCTTCTGCTTCTTCCAGCTTCATCCTTTCCATCTTCTTCATGGAACATGTTGTGCTCAGAAGCCATGGTAACTGTTTGAAGAAAAAAGAAAACTCAATGCAACAGAAGAGAGAATGTGTTTGATAAATGCTATAGGCTTTAAGGAGGTGCGATATATATAGAGAGAGAGAGAAAAACAAAGAGAGAGAGAGAGTTCAGTGAAAACAAAGCAGAAACTGCCTGTGTGAAATGGTGAAAGGACAATGGTTATGCGCGTGTGTGTGTTTTGCTTTTGGGTCTTGTATTTGGTTTTGTTTTTGCTTTGTGTTTTTGCTAGTTCCACACTCCCAAATGTTTCTGCTTCTTCCAGATAACAATCTCCTTTTGCTTTTCTTTTTTCTGCTTTTGTCTTAATTAAGTAAGGATTTTGGGCACATCATCACGATGCTCATGTTATTATGAGTTTCTACGGGTCTAAGCGGTAATGCATTTAGAAAACGGTCTTTTGGCAATCATATGGAGTAAGATTTGATCATGAATTATGAGAATCTGCCTATGGAATAGGCTTGTAATGATGGTCTTTCTATTCTCATATTTGGAAACGAGAAAAAGTTGAACCCATGTGGTGCCTTCTAATGTGGGAAAATTTCTCTTCCTACACAGTTTCCACGCAAAGCCTATGCAATTCCCTGTGATTCCAAGATATAGTTAATGTGATCTTCTATTGTTGATTACTTACATGGAGAAATACTCCTACCCAAAAGAATGTTCTATTCATCCAAGTAATCGTTCTATTCAAAATATCCATGTCGTTAGTTATTTCAATATACACTTCAATCTATAATACTTCTTAAATGATCAAGGATCTCATGTACTTCTTACTTTGTTTAAAACCCTAATAAAGCAATACTAAACTTCTTATTAACTGTATCTTTAAGATTAAAGCCAGACTACAATATGACTATGAAGACATATTTGTAGATTAAATTATTATCCCCTTTTAGTTATTTGATTAGTTTGTTTCTTTCTTTTGATTATTTAATTAGTCAGTCCCAGCATTGTTCATGTGATTCAGACCAATAAAAGTAAGTTTTACCTCTTAGTTTTACCGATATTTTAAGTATGATTCTGTGATTATTTGTTCCATGCAATCTGGTATTTTCGTAGCCTCTGTTGCAATCTTTATCATGTAAAACAATCAATGACTGATCAGTGCTAGTTTAGTTGTTTAAGAGCATTATAAGTATCACTGCCATGAAATTTATATAACTTATCCTATGTTGCAACTTCCACTTATATCCATATACTTAACTACCTCAGAATTTTTTGTGTTGGTATTTTCTTTTGTTGGAATTTTACTATTCGATCAATATGGGTATTTTCCACCACCCACAACTTAGTTATGAAAGCCAAATCACGTGATATGTTGATTGAAATAGTGGGTCGCAATTAAAATGTTTCATTATTCACTGTCATTCTTTGAGGATAAAATCTTTCACCATCATTTCATCACCGCCTAATCCTAAACCAGTCAATATCTAATGTTCCTCATCAATTAATGCATTGCAACAAATTGGAGTATATTTTGCAACCCAAACTTAAGCAAATTAATGAAGTTACTGAATTCAAATCAAATATGAATATCAAATTAAAAAAATCTAAATCTTTCATCATTTCTCAAATAATAGTAAGGTTTATATACTCTCCTCTTTTATTTTCTTTAATATCTCCAAAATAGAGTGCACATTATTAATTAGTTCTAATTTATTCCTTATGATTATGCAAGGAGACTCTGCAACAATTGTTACTTAAAGGAAATTGAATTGGAGTACAGTACTATAGCTAACTAACTAAGTAGTATCTACAGTGTATGGCAATTAAATTTGACATGCACGCCAACAATGTTGTGGGGTATTCTACAAGATATTCGCAAAAGTGAAACACCAACACGCAAATCCTATGAGACCAAACCAGTATTGCAAATCTTAACTAAGAATTGGTTTGGAGGAGTGTGTGTGTGTGTTTGGGACATAAAACCCAAACCGCGTGACCAACCCAAGATTTTTTTATCTGATGTACATACATTAGAAGGTGGTCTAAGAGAGAAAAACTGTTTATTTATGCAGTAGGGCCCACTAGAAGGTGTGGTCCCATGCCACGTGGAGAGCTGGTGGGTACAGAATATAGGCGGCTGAGAGAAGAGGAGAGAGAATTGGCACGTGTGAGAGAGAGAGAGAGAGAGAGAGAGGGAAAGAGAGAGGGGGCATTGCTGGGATTGAGCAGACATAGGTGGATTCTTGGGTTCCTGGAAAGCAGATTGTGCCCTTCATTTGCATGGAAAAGAAAAATCATTGACATTTGTTTGTTTGGGATCACTCTCTCTTCTTGATGCTGTGGTGGGGCCTTCATTTGCATTTTCTAACTGGAGACCACTTCATACAAATATTGTTAATTAACCTTTAAATAATCTACTACTCTTTCTATTCCCAGTGTCTCTGGTATCACTATAATCACTAAGTTAGGTCAAATTATTATAAAAACAAAATAAACATAACCATGAACGGTTCGTTTTTTAACTACCATGCTATGGTATCTAAATTTTGGAAGGGTGTTTGATATTTAAGCATATGTGATTATAATATGGATGGAAAAGGTTAGACTGGACCAATTAGTGACTAGCTGAAAAATTAGATAAGTTGTTAGTCTGAATAACTAAAGAAATTTAGTAGTCAAAATTCAGTCAAAAGTCAGTGATATCTATCAAAACTTGGTCAAAGTTAGCATAAACCTGGTAGCAACAGAAGTGTTTTGAATTGATACTAGAAAAGTGTTTCTATAGTTTTCTTTTATTCAAAACATTATGAGATACATAAAGTTTTATATGTAATGTATTTATTATGCAGTTTTAATCTTGAAAGATGTATAATAATCATTTTATACAAATTTACCCTGCAGTTGTCCTCATTTCACGATTTTTTGCATAGGAAAAATTTATAATTCTTCACATACTTGAGTTAAAATTTTGGTTTAACTTTACTAACTTGGTTGATGGCGCTGCTTAAATTACTATTTTTTTTTTGTAAAATTGTTATAAAATCCCTGATAAGAAGCTACACTCTTTGTTGTTGAAAGAAATCTTTTACGGTTATACATCCGATAGAAATTACTGCAATAGTTTTATAGTGTCAGAAATATCGCATAACATTTTAACAATTCCGTCTATCAATGTTAACGACAATGATATGCATGTGTTAGAATTCTAAAAATGATAAACATTTATTTTAACGCATGTGCAAGAGTTGAAATTTAAAGTTTTTTCGTATAAGTTATGTAAACGAAACATCAATCAAATATTCATTATTAAAAAGTAAAGGAATAAAAACACCACTAATTTTATATTTATTTATCACTTGACAAATGATTCAATTAGTTCAACTATAATTGAATTAATGAGCATCTCCATTAATACTATACTAATATAAGATTGCCTAGAGTTTAAAAATAATTGCTTCATCAGTTTTAATGGAGATTTTCATAATTTAAAAATTTATGATCAAACCAATATGGGCATGTGTGGTGGTTAATCTGTCCAGAGTGGGTGGACAAATAAAGCTTGTGTTTGTGAATAAGGATGAAAAGAGGAGCGGGTGGCCATGAAGTGGTCTTATGACTGTGGTCTAGACATATAACCATACTTTATTTCATAAATATAGAGGAATCCAGCATCTGAAATGAGGCTTCCCGTTGTTGTTTTTTAGCTACAAAATGGGGTGGTTTAACGAGGGAGAGGGAGAGAAGTGGAGGAGGTAAGCAACTAATACAGATTGTTTGTTTGTAGAGATTACCATAAAGGAATGGAGCAGTTAGAGTAACTGTTGGTTCTGGCTTTATGCAACTTGTGAAGGACCAATCCATTTTAGTACAAAATTGCAAGAGATCCCTCCCCTACAACTCCGATTCCCATTTCCCTCACATATCCATACCAATAAGACAATCACAAGGGAAGGACCACCCCACGGAGATCATTATTTAGATCTCAATCTGAACTGAGATTTGCTCTGCTTTCACCCTCCCATTTTACCATTCTGCCCTCACCTACCATCACAATGGACACTTTTCTCCTTCGCACAACCAACCGCATAGTGGGCAGGGAGTACAAACATAATTCATAGGGTTGGATATATATAGTACATGTATCACACAAGATTTTGATGAAAGGAACAGGATCGTAGAATAGCATTTGTGCTGCCTGGGCCGGCCGGCTAGTGTTATCCGGACCATCCAGGGATCACAGGATCAAAGAATTGAGTGAGTGCTTGAGAGAGCATTCATTGCAGAACAGAAAGGGCGTGTTTTTTGGATGCATGAAAATGTCACTGTCACCTGGTAGTTGTGCTGGACCTGCCTAAAGCAAAACAATTATAAAACAAAAGGCCCAGACATAAAAGCAATGTGTCTGGCAGATGCCCCAGACTCCCAGTAAATCAAACCCACACCCACAGATCCCTCAGCTGTCCTCCACCTGCGACCTATCACAGTTTTACAGATCATATACGTATATACGTACGTACATGTACATCAGGGTGGGGGATCGTCTAACAACAATAGAGTTAAGTCTAGCTCATTCATAGAGAGAACCTTCGGGTCGCAAAATTGAAACACACTCGTCCAAATATCATTTTGCTTTTCTCAATTTATGGTACAATATATTATACAAACAGTCTTGTTAGTTTATAATCATCTGAGCAAAAAGATAAAGCATTTCATAAATCATAAATAAAACTAAATGAGTACCAACCTGTACTTCAATTGAGGTCTGAGAGGAGACATGTCAAGCAGCATGGGGCCACACCCAAGATGAGAGAGAATAGAGATGCAGTGGACCCCGTTAGCTGTGCATGAACAAACTAAGCGTCAGCTGTACAAGAAGCTTCTGGGAGCAAATTCAAGAGCCACTATAAATGACATGAAAGGATCTTCCCATGCTGTGAAACTTCAAAATCAGATTTAGTTCAAGATATTTTGGTCTTGAAATTCAAATTTAATAACATGTTATTTTTGCTGAGATTGGTTGTTGAGACTCTGCGGTGTCTTCATTCTTCTAGAGGTACAAGGCACTGGGTCGCACTATTAGTAGGTCCATTCGATATTTCTAGAATAAACGTTCATCTCCCTTTGTGTTGTTCGTAAAAATTGAGGAACATTTACAAATAAAAGAATTTGCAAGTTTGAATGGTTATATGCCGAGATAGCATTAATAATATGAAATAATCATATATAGTATAACAATTTGTCCTATTTCAATAGGATAAAAGCAATTTAAACTAAACTCAGAACAAGCCGGTCGCAGCTCTAACAATTCAATATTAAGGACTTGTTATTTTTTTTATATCCACTAATTAGTAATGCTAGAGACCTAGAGGTTGGAAAAATAAACAAGTAAATACCTCATGTTACCAATATATACAATATCAATTTAGACGACTAGTGCAACGGAACAAAATTTACTTCGTGCAATGAATCAAATACTGCTTAGGTATCAACTGTGGTATTAGCAAATGCTACACTTTTAGGGAGAATAAATGATGCGCACAGCATCCATTTTCCAGGAGCAACAAGTCGTACCCGTCGCACGTCTACGTTGACTGCTACTTCTACCAGCGCAATTCTTATTCTCTGCACCGGAAGAGGTTTATTAAGATGTCTTTAGAATAAGGTTCAAGATATAACACTAGCCCAACAGCAAAGTAAAAAATAAAAGTGATTAGCGATGTCCAATCAAAGACCCTACATAAATATACACAATATCAGCAACCAACCTCGTGAAAATCAAATTCTGGATCTCGCGCTTTGGAGAATCCATACACATGGATCATAGGAAAAGTATATTCCCCATCCTTGGGTCTATTTTTGTATATTCCCCGAAATGCATCTGCAGAGGAAGCCAAATATATTCAGAAATTAAATATAGATATTATAGTTGTTTACTCCTACCGAAAGCAACTAAAAAAATTGTAGCAGACCGAGTACAGCAACTCCCAACTGGCCTAATCAGTGCACGTGTTCACTTCATAGGACAACTCTAGTGACTAATCTCATTCAGAGACAAACTAATTCTCCACTAACAGATAGACAAACAGCACATCAATGACCAAGCCATTAATTAAGCAATTATATGGTGAGATTTTCAAGACAAGAAAAGAGAGGGAGTATCTCGTTTGCATAAGCGTTAATGCTATTACTTTAACCCCCATTAGGTTTATAGAGTAAGATTATCTTATGACCAAAAAATTAAGACGAGAGTAGAATTATTGGCACGAGTGGTGATGCTTTTACTGTCTCCATCATAAGGAATATTTTGACCCAAGATCTGTAGTTAAATCGAGAACATCATATACAACTTCACGTTCTTTTGGGCAAGGCTTTAACTTATCTATACATACTGCTTTTTGCAGTTTCCAACTATTCCTCTCAATAAAGGAATATATTTATGTATGTATGCAGCAACTAAGAGTGAACAGACCATTGCAACCCTCACTCTACTCAGAACTACTTGAAACATAGTCCAGACAGTAAGGAAAAACAGTTTGCCCCGATTCACCCTACCCTCCAAAACTATCAACCATTGCTGGAGGAAAAATTAAGAGAAGTTCCACGTATTTATGAGTACCATTCAGAAGACAAGTGTGGGATGGATCAAAATTGGACAGTGCACAAAAAATATTGTACAATAAAGAAATAGTGGTCTTGTGAAGAGAGGCAACCTAGAAATTCTGCAGCTTCACTTGGCAAGTTCATAACCACTTGCGTGATGGACTGAGAAACATCACTGGCATAAAGAGACTTAATGAACCTTCTTCCATCCATGTTGAAGACCTAGAGAAACAAACAAATGACATTAGTGAGCAGAAAATTTCATCAAGAGAAGTAGTGCTGTCACATGCAGATTCAAATCCAACATCAGCCAGGGTTTTTCCATCAATTCATGAAAAACACTAAAATAATCAGCACGTCCTTTTTAACCATTAGTCACTCACATCCTATGAATCATGATCAATTCAAGAAAGGAGTGGTGCCCGAAGACACTGGTAACATACACGATGCAGTATTTCAAATCCTAATAGGACATTTTATATTTTATTGTTTTCGTGTGTCTTTTGTGTCCATTCTTCTTAGCTTCACACTCTAAGATAATTCACAACAGTTTTATACTTAAAAAATCTACAGAAGTCCAAAAATGTTGAAGAAAAGACTAAGTTGCTGTGCTTTTAACATGAATGAACCAAGAAATAGCAAATCCAAATTTGGATTCCAATTCCAACATACTTATTTTCATTATTATCTCTTCATGTGCAAAAGTCCATAAAACATCTTAAAGAAAATACTCATTGAACATGGATCATACCTTAATCTTCTTCTCAAGTTTATTTAAAACACTATTTCTTTCCAGATACTCAACTGCATATGGATTTAAGTCATTAGCAAAAACACGCTTAACTATCCTCGCAGCAGATATGGCTAAGGGACCAACTCCCGAGAAAACATCACCTGTCAAATGATGATGCATGTGTAAGCAAGTCATGAATATTTTTTTCGTCATGATTAACATAAAGAACATTCCATATTAATGCAAGGGGGAAGGATGTGTTAATATTTCAAACCTCTGACAGCAATTTTTAGATGAAGTTAGTGCAGACTTGGTATTCATTACCTAAATTAAGAAAATTATTAGGGAATAATCATAAATCTTGAAAGCCTCCGGAATTATTTTTTTCCCTGGCCAGCCTTGTATATTTCAATGTCTAAGGGATTCCAAGTAGTTTCTCTAAAATATTATCCAACAGGTGATATGCACATGCATTAAAATCTTTGGAAAGCTACGAAAAGAATTACATCATTGATGACATACTTGCATCCAGATTCTGTATTTAGGAATTTGATGCTCTTACGTGTTAGAATAATTTATCTTGATTATCTAACTTGTTCAGATAGGTTAACAAGTCAGCTTTGCCTATTAACATCAATTACCTAGAGATAGCCTTTTCTTTGTACACTATTGGTATTTCAGATGTAATATTCTTCTATAAATAACCAGGAACAACAAAGAGATAATCAATCTTTGGAACCCTTTTCTATCATTTTTCTTTTCGTAATTTGCAGTTGTCCACCGCCATCAACCATCATCCTATGTTGCCGTCTCTCCATGGTCATTGTTAGAATAAGTATTAAAACTGGGTAGAAAATAGTTGTGTTGGGAACTACTACTATTGTAGCTAGTTCTGTACCTAGGTTTCTAGTTCAGTCTTTTGGTTTTTCATCTTCTCATTGTATCAAATTTCTACCAATATAAATGAGATCATAAGAGTGGTGTTTCAAGCCCTCAAAATATACTATCTCTTGTTAATCTCAAGATAGTATCAAAGCTAGTCAATCTTGCTCTACTGATCTCAGTCTTCTCCAACACAGTTTTTGCCACAGTTTGCCGTTCGCCCCCAACCACTGTCACAATTTTCTCCCAGGATCACTGGATCTAAACCATCTCCATGAGCAACTGTCACAACCTCTGTTGGTTTCCTCAAACTCTGACTAAAATGTCCACTGGACCTATTCTCTCCTCCTCTGGAACTCCTACCATTACCTCTAAAAAGTTCAATGAGAAAAATTATCTCTCGTGGTCTGCCTCAATTGAAATTTGGTTCCTACACCAAAGTTACCATGAACACCTTGAACAAGATGGAAGCAATGTACCTTTTGAGCAAGCTAAACAATGAAACGTATTGATTGTCAACTTTGTGCCTTACCGTGGCAATTTGTAGAACCCAAATTACTGGGTTCTGTTAGATCTTTTAAGACTCAACTCTTTTAGGAAAAAGACTCGGAATATTTTTATAAAAGATATTCAGCGCCTTTACAACTTTGCAAATAGGCTTACCACTCTCAAACAAATTGCTCATGACATGGTTGGTGTCTTTCATGAGTGAAACTCAATTTGCCGATAGTAGATGGAACAATAGACCTAACAAACAACAAATTTATCTAAGATAGGCTCTAACCCATGACTCTGATACCATGTTAAGAAGTGAATTTTAAGCCTAACTCAACCCTACCAAACCAGCTTATAAGATGAAGTTTGCACCTAGTTATATACTACGAAATTACCATATCTCTAGTCAATGTGGGACTTCAAACAAACATGAATCTAAAGAGTTATAATATTTTGGATTTAGTCCGCATGTGTTCTGTTTTGTGTCCCCACTTATCAAAATTAAAAAAAAAATGGTCCTTGAGGACAGTAAGCATAGTAGTATTTAGACATTAGAATGTGAGTGATGTCAACCAGGTAGACATGTTAGACCTTATTTTCCTAAAAGGTCAAAATCAATATGTAATTTTGTTTTTCTATTATCCATTCTCATATTTGGGGACCAAGTTAGGTCTCATCTTTTGGTTTTTAGATATTTTGTCACATTTATTGATTAATATTCTAGATGTACTTGGATTTATCTTATGAAAGATTGTTCTGAACTATTGAGTATCTTTACATCCTTTTTGAATGAAATCAAAAATCAACTTGGTCGGGTAATTAAAATTTTAAGCAATGACAATGCCAAAGAGTATTCCTCCTCTATTTTCTCTGCAGTTAAGTTCACATGACATTTTACATTAGTCTACTTGTCCTCACACACCTTAACAAAATGGTTATGCAAATAGGAAAAATAGACTTGGTTGAGACTACCCTATTGCTTGGTGCTAATATACAAAACCACCATTGAGGCAATGCTATCCTAACTGCTTGTTTTCTTATTAATAGGATATTGTCCTCTTCTCTTAGCAATAAGGTTCCTATTCCATTCTTTTTCCAAATTATCTTCTCTTTTATGTTTCTTTTTGTGTTTGGTTGTGTATGTTTTGTTCATGATTTGTCTCTAGAGTTAGATAAACTTTTTGTTTGTGCTATCAAATGTGTCTTCTTAGACTATTCTAGACTTCAAAAAGGGTATCAGTGTTATTCTCTTGAAACCAAAAAGTATAGTTGAGTCTATTGTTCCTAGTGCTTCTGTCAATCTCAATCTTGATCAAAATCCTTTTAAGCCATCCTCAAAATACTTACCACTTCAGTACCCAAATGACTAGACCAATTTTCCAAGATGAATCATCTACTTCAATTTCTTCTCAATCATCACTCAATACCACGACTCCTAGTGATGACGATTCAAGTTGGCTCATTGTTCTTCAAAAGATACTCGTTCTACTCAAAACCCACATCCTATTTATAACTTTCTTAGTTGTCACATGTCATATTCCTATTGTTCTTTCCTATACTCAATGTCTTCTATTACTTTTCCCAAAAATGTGAATGAAGCCCAGATGGCGACAAACCATGATTTTAGAAATGCAAACTCTTGACCAGAATAATACATGTGAGTTCCACCTAGAATAAAGGCAGTTGAATGTCAATGGGTTTATGCCATTAAAGTTGACCCTAATGGTGAAGCTAATAATCTCAAGCCATGATTAATTGCCAAAGGATACACTTAGACTTATGGCCTTGAGTATTCTGATGTTTTTTCTCCAGTGGCCAAAATGACCACTATATGACTTTTCTTTGCCATGATAGCTATTCGTCATTGGTCACTTTAATTGGATATTAAAAATGTCTTNGCTTTGCCTATTAACATCAATTACCTAGAGATAGCCTTTTCTTTGTACACTATTGGTATTTCAGATGTAATATTCTTCTATAAATAACCAGGAACAACAAAGAGATAATCAATCTTTGGAACCCTTTTCTATCATTTTTCTTTTCGTAATTTGCAGTTGTCCACCGCCATCAACCATCATCCTATGTTGCCGTCTCTCCATGGTCATTGTTAGAATAAGTATTAAAACTGGGTAGAAAATAGTTGTGTTGGGAACTACTACTATTGTAGCTAGTTCTGTACCTAGGTTTCTAGTTCAGTCTTTTGGTTTTTCATCTTCTCATTGTATCAAATTTCTACCAATATAAATGAGATCATAAGAGTGGTGTTTCAAGCCCTCAAAATATACTATCTCTTGTTAATCTCAAGATAGTATCAAAGCTAGTCAATCTTGCTCTACTGATCTCAGTCTTCTCCAACACAGTTTTTGCCACAGTTTGCCGTTCGCCCCCAACCACTGTCACAATTTTCTCCCAGGATCACTGGATCTAAACCATCTCCATGAGCAACTGTCACAACCTCTGTTGGTTTCCTCAAACTCTGACTAAAATGTCCACTGGACCTATTCTCTCCTCCTCTGGAACTCCTACCATTACCTCTAAAAAGTTCAATGAGAAAAATTATCTCTCGTGGTCTGCCTCAATTGAAATTTGGTTCCTACACCAAAGTTACCATGAACACCTTGAACAAGATGGAAGCAATGTACCTTTTGAGCAAGCTAAACAATGAAACGTATTGATTGTCAACTTTGTGCCTTACCGTGGCAATTTGTAGAACCCAAATTACTGGGTTCTGTTAGATCTTTTAAGACTCAACTCTTTTAGGAAAAAGACTCGGAATATTTTTATAAAAGATACTCAGCGCCTTTACAACTTTGCAAATAGGCTTACCACTATCAAACAAATTGCTCATGACATGGTTGGTGTCTTTCATGAGTGAAACTCAATTTGCCGATAGTAGATGGAACAATAGACCTAACAAACAACAAATTTATCTAAGATAGGCTCTAACCCATGACTCTGATACCATGTTAAGAAGTGAATTTTAAGCCTAACTCAACCCTACCAAACCAGCTTATAAGATGAAGTTTGCACCTAGTTATATACTACGAAATTACCATATCTCTAGTCAATGTGGGACTTCAAACAAACATGAATCTAAAGAGTTATAATATTTTGGATTTAGTCCGCATGTGTTCTGTTTTGTGTCCCCACCTATCAAAATTTAAAAAAAATGGTCCTTGAGGACAGTAAGCATAGTAGTATTTAGACATTAGAATGTGAGTGATGTCAACCAGGTAGACATGTTAGACCTTATTTTCCTAAAAGGTCAAAATCAATATGTAATTTTGTTTTTCTATTATCCATTCTCATATTTGGGGACCAAGTTAGGTCTCATCTTTTGGTTTTTAGATATTTTGTCACATTTATTGATAAATATTCTAGATGTACTTGGATTTATCTTATGAAAGATTGTTCTGAACTATTGAGTATCTTTACATCCTTTTTGAATGAAATCAAAAATCAACTTGGTCGGGTAATTAAAATTTTAAGCAATGACAATGCCAAAGAGTATTCCTCCTCTATTTTCTCTGCAGTTAAGTTCACATGACATTTTACATTAGTCTACTTGTCCTCACACACCTTAACAAAATGGTTATGCAAATAGGAAAAATAGACTTGGTTGAGACTACCCTATTGCTTGGTGCTAATATACAAAACCACCATTGAGGCAATGCTATCCTAACTGCTTGTTTTCTTATTAATAGGATATTGTCCTCTTCTCTTAGCAATAAGGTTCCTATTCCATTCTTTTTCCAAATTATCTTCTCTTTTATGTTTCTTTTTGTGTTTGGTTGTGTATGTTTTGTTCATGATTTGTCTCTAGAGTTAGATAAACTTTTTGTTTGTGCTATCAAATGTGTCTTCTTAGACTATTCTAGACTTCAAAAAGGGTATCAGTGTTATTCTCTTGAAACCAAAAAGTATAGTTGAGTCTATTGTTCCTAGTGCTTCTGTCAATCTCAATCTTGATCAAAATCCTTTTAAGCCATCCTCAAAATACTTACCACTTCAGTACCCAAATGACTAGACCAATTTTCCAAGATGAATCATCTACTTCAATTTCTTCTCAATCATCACTCAATACCACGACTCCTAGTGATGACGATTCAAGTTGGCTCATTGTTCTTCAAAAGATACTCGTTCTACTCAAAACCCACATCCTATTTATAACTTTCTTAGTTGTCACATGTCATATTCCTATTGTTCTTTCCTATACTCAATGTCTTCTATTACTTTTCCCAAAAATGTGAATGAAGCCCAGATGGCGACAAACCATGATTTTAGAAATGCAAACTCTTGACCAGAATAATACATGTGAGTTCCACCTAGAATAAAGGCAGTTGAATGTCAATGGGTTTATGCCATTAAAGTTGACCCTAATGGTGAAGCTAATAATCTCAAGCCATGATTAATTGCCAAAGGATACACTTAGACTTATGGCCTTGAGTATTCTGATGTTTTTTCTCCAGTGGCCAAAATGACCACTATATGACTTTTCTTTGCCATGATAGCTATTCGTCATTGGTCACTTTAATTGGATATTAAAAATGTCTTTCTTCATGGAGACAACAAGGAAATCAACATGGAGCAACCTCATGGGTTTATTGCTCAGGAGGGGTCTGGTTTGGTTTGCAAGTTGTGCCACTCTCTCTATGGCCTCAAGTAATCACCATGTGTTTGGTTGGGAAAATTGAACTTGATGATTCAAAATTTTAGGTTGAAGCATAGTGAAGCGATCATTTAACTTGTTATTGTCATACATTTCTTAGGAAATGTGTTTACTTAATAGTATATATTGATGATATAGTTATTACATGAAATAATGTTGCTAGAATATCTCAACTAAATGAACACTTATGTGTAAACATTTTAAACCAAGGATCATGGAAACCTCAAAATATTTCTTGGGTATTGAAGTAAGCTCAATAAAAAAACATTGTAGTAATCCTTCAAAGGAAGTATGCTCTAGCATCTTAAAAGAGATAGATATGATTGGTTGTAAACTAGTAGATACTCTTATGGATTCAAATCAGAAGTTAATGATAGAAGGTGAATCATTCTTTGACCTATAAAAATATAGAAGACTAGTTGAAAAACTGATTTATCTTACAATTACTAGAATTGATCTATCTTTTGCAGTTGATGTTGTTAGTCAATTCATTAAGGCTCCATATATTGACCATTGGAATACTATCATTTGTATTCTAAGGTACCTCAAAAAATATCCAGGACAAGGTTTGCTATATAAAGATAAAGATAACATCTAAATCCCTAGGTACTACAATGCTGATTGGGCAAGATCCCCCTACTGATAGGCGTTCTACTATAGTCTATTGTGTTTTCCTTGAAAGAAATATTATTTCTTGGAAAAATAAGAAACCGAATGTAGTGTGGCAATCAACTGGTGAAGCTGAATATAGGGCAATGACGTCCCTTACTTCTGAATTTGTATGGGAGAAAAAAGTCTTTCAAGAACATAACTTTCGTGAAATCTAGACCATGAAGGTGTATTGTGATAACCAAGTTGCTCTCCACATTGCTTTCAATTCAGTTTTCCACTAGAGAACTAAGCATATAGAAATTGATTATCATTTTATTCAAAAAAATTGTTGTAAAAAAAATTGTATTGAGTTTGTAAGATCAACTTGCAAATGTGTTAACCAAGTCCTTAAAGGGGTCTCGGATCAAGTTTATCTGTTTCAAGTTTGGTAGATACAATTTGTATGCTCTAACTTGAAGGAGAGTGTTACAATAAGTACTAAATCTAGGTAGAAAGTAGTTGTATTGGAAATTACTACTGTTGTACCTAGATTTGTACCTAGGTTTCTAGTTCAACCTTTTGATCTTTCATCTTGTATCATTATAAATATGAGATCATAAGAGTTGTGTTTCAAGCCCTCAAACTAAGAAAACCAATCCTAGAGGATAACAAAATATGATCAGATTTAAATATATGATAATATATGTTCATATATTCTAATTTCTAACAGTTTTTTGTTTTTCAAACTCCCACTCAAAGCAAACAAACCAAAATGTTGTCAATTGTCATCACTCGTCTGCATTTGACATCAGATTGCTCTGATCAGCTATATTCCACTATGAAAGAGACAATAATGAAAAGAAATTGAAAGTGGTGATAACATAAGTATGCATCTTTTACAAGAGTAGACACATACAGACAACATCGTTCCGTGTGAAACCACTCAGAAGCCTTTGTCTTTCAGTTCCAAGCCTAGAACTCCAATATCTGCACAAAAAAAGAAAAGAAACAAAAGTGGTCATTCATACTCTTGAATTATTTTTTACCTAATTTCCTGGGTATGTTTTGAAATTTGGAATAAATAGATATTAATTTACCTTCTATTTTAGACTCCATATTCATTGAATGAAATTTCACAATAATAATCAGTATATGCAAAACAGTGCAACCAGTAACTGACTCATGCAATACCATAACACTGTAGGTCCAGTAAGGCTATCAATGACAGATGGCCGAAGGCCAAAGTTCTGCCACATAAACATGCAGCCTGTGCCAACACCGTAGCTGGCCTCACTTCACAAGTTGCCAATGGCAGAGGGGTCAAAAACACCATATTATAGTGTTCTTTTATTGAACAACATTGAGGTCCAGTGAGACAAAGCAACCTATCTAGTGTTTGACTCGAAATAAACACAGAATAATAATGGAAATAATCTTGTTTCTAGGCCACTTTGAGTACAAAAACAGGGTCTCCCTACCAAAGAGTTTCCACCTTTAAAACACAGAATAACAATCTAATGCCTTAGTTGCCTTTTACAAATCTGTAGCACAACCTGTATATCACTGTAGCAGTTGCATCATTGTTCTAGTCAAAGATATTGAGAAACTCTAAGCTAGAAGGATTCAATGTGTTGTTATAATGATATAATAGATATATATTTATCAACCTAGAATCAGCTAATATCCACCCTTTTTATTTAGGGGTAACGGGTCTTGTCATGCAAGATGAAACAAAGTAAGGTTTCTTACCCTAAATGGGTATTATCGTGTCCAGCACCAAGACCGAATATATCCAAGTACTCGTCCTATAACCAAGATTTGCTATCTTGAACAGACCAATCATAACATATAACTGCCAAATCAAAATTAATATAATAATAACCTAAAAGCTTCCTAAAACAGAATAGTATCTATCCAAATTATACTCTAGCCTATCAATGCCTCCTATTACAGAAGCAGTTTAAGTTTTTGTTTAATGTTTGGGACCTCAATTTGGTTTGTCTAGGGGGTTTTTTTAATTAAGGATTGGGTTGGAACGGGTCAAACAACCCTAACCCATATTTCCACCATTTCTGCCATGGTAGCTACTTCTGGTATGGACACCACATGAGACCTGGCACATCATCACCTTAGAACGGCAGCAGGTTAGAAATCTGTCATCACAATCCACCATAACTGCTTTGTAACAACAGTGACTTATATTTAACCTAAAATTTCCTAGTATGAAATTGTTAAGAAGTGGACTTTAAACCTAACTCAATCCCACAAAACCATCTGGTAAAGTGAGGTTTGCACCCACTTATATACTCTAAACTAGCTTTATCACTATTTGATGTAGGACTTCTAACACACCCCCTCACATCGAGATATATACATCTCGTGCGTGGAACTAGATATTAATGGGTGGTCTGATAACGGCCCAATAGCGAGTTAAACAATATGTCCAGCAAAAAACAAATTTTACTAGGATAGACTCTAAACCTGACTCTAGTACCATGTTAAGAAGTGGACTTTAAACCTAACCCAACCTCACAAAACTGGCTTGTAAGATGAGATTTGCACCATTCTAAATTAGCCTTATTACTAATCTACGTAGGACTTCCAACATAAATTAATATTAAAAACTTCCTAATAAAGAATTATACCTTCCTAAATAAGATTTTGGCTCATCGTCTACCTTCACTTGAAAGTTATAAATCTATCTAAACACATAATGCCTTAGTAATCTATAACAATGAATAACGGAGATTATTTTTGTAACTGTTTTCTGTATATAGATTTTTTTTGCCACTTTTACCTATGGAACCTTATCTTCATCAACCAACTTCTTAATTTCCATGATCTACAAGAAACTATCAATAATGAACAGTCATGATGAAAAATTGGGAGTGTTTGTATTGTATGATCATAACAAAAAAAATTAAAATATTTTATAACTATTTTTAGTGCATATTTTATTACAATTTTACATCTTATGTCTATGTAATTATTTTTCATTGTAATAATAGTTACATCAAAAAATTTAATTGTATCCATTGTTTTTTAATTGTCTGCCTTTAGCAATAATTTAAAGGAAACAGATGCAGAACGCATGGAGAGTAAGCCAGATTGAGACAGCATATACTGGTATACACATGACACTGAAGGATCTAAAATGTACAGTTTGTAAGTGTTCTTTTATAAACAGAAAGATACATATGAATGAATCAATACCATAACTATATTAACAAACTAAACTACATGTAAACGAATAGAAAGAGAGAATCTAAAATGTAAATCTGTCTATATTCATGGGACCACCAACTACCAATGCCTGCCAAAGAAAATCCCTCATACAACTTTTCAACATAAAGTCAAATTCTACATTTCTTAATGGTGAAGCAGCCCCATGGCCCTAGATGAATACGGCATATCTAAGGAGAGGTAAAAGGTGTGATATACCTGGTCAATTTTAGGGAGAGATAAAGATTAATAGAGAAAGATTAAGTACAAACCTAGCAGCTGAGCATGAGGGGCGTGCATATTGTGGATTTGTTGTGGAGAGAGAGAGAAAGAGAGAGACTATAAGCCAAAGAAGACAAGAAGGCAAGCTGGAATTACGGTTGGAATGGGAACTGTCAGTGTTTTTTATTTATATACCATTGTACATACAATAAACCAAAATCTTTGATTCCGATGCTACAGTGATAGAAATATTTTCATACGTAAGTCCTTCCTTTTAGTTTCTCTTTCTAGCTGCTCTCTACCTATCACATGGTTCCTAGCCTACACGGAGATTTCAGATCAGGTAAGGATATAATTGTTTCACCAGTCTTACACAAACAGAATACAATCAGAGTACTTCAACAAGGTTATGCACGCCTACATAATACCAAACAATTTTCATGAAATGACAGTAATTCAGCAATTAGTAAATCAAGCCTTCTATGTTGGTCAGGGATGGAAATAAGAGCATACACTGTTGCTAAGTCAACCTGAAAGCGAAGTCCATTCTCAACTACTGTAGTCACAAGAGAGTGGTTCCCTGCTAAAACCTCGAGCTGCATAGTCCTGTACTCATTTTGAATGGAATCAATCTTGTTCACAACCGATTGTATCTTTGGCCTATTTTTATCCAGTACAACCTGAATTTGAAAGTATCCTTTCATAAATTAACTCAGATAAGAATTTGTAATACATTTTACATTTCACATTTAATGCAATAACAAAAAATTATTTCTAAAACAAAAACCTTTGCTATTAGCCTCTTGTATGGTAAATGTTCTTCCCTCAAATTTAAGTGTGCTATATGACCAACAGACTCAAAAGTTGAAGGAACAATCATACCCTCAGGCAACAAGGTCTCCAAAACCTGCAACAATAATATTGACCTGATCATTTTATTTTATTCACAATTTGAAGTTGAATAAAGAACACCAAACAGGTAAAACTGGTCACAAAAAATGTTTCTTGGTTGCATACATGAATATGAATGTAAATTTAAAATATAATTGTTGATGTATCCTAAATCAATGGCCTTAAGCAAAGTTTCCGAATAGATAGATAAGTTATACTCGAACAATTAAGGAAGGTGATGTAGGATTTCAAAACAATAACTTTAAACTATCTTCACAATATACTCAAACAATTAAGGAAGGTGATGCAGGATTTCCAAACAATAAGTTTAAACTATCTTCACAAGATGACAAAATTTGTACTTGTGTTAAAAAATAGCCACATGGAATGAAACAGAAATGTCATACTACTTTTATTAGAAGTAAATGTCCAAGTCAAGCAAATCATATGGGTGAGAAGTTTGTTTTATAGTGATAGACCAACACACGTGTGACCCTTGCAAAGAGAAAGAATAACATGTACAAAGGAAAACTTAGATATACACACCAAAACATAGATTATGTGTGTAATACTGTGTCCTTGGTATAATATACCTCGGTCATCTGCCAGTAATCATAGAATAGTGTCAGCTTGCATCTAACTAGCTCAAGGGTCAACATTGTATTCTTTTCTGCATACTCCTTCAAAACAGCCTGTAGACAGGACGAAAAATATAAGTGATTAGATGAAATATAGATGCCAAAAGCACATATAGAACAAATTTTCAAAATTTTATTAATAAAAAAAACATGCACATAATTGTGATTTATCCCATTTTAAACTAAGATGGAACATGAAAAATGAGGAGATATCCAACATCAGGCCAATATAATAGTATCAGTATCTAATGAAAATTCTAAACTAAATATAGTTTGGTAACAGCTCACTAGTTCACCTTTGACCTACCACTATTGAAACTTGTAGAAGAGCCATTAAATAAGATTGTTACTGTGTACTTCGAGGACAAACAATATAAGCTTTCTGCAAATATTACCAAAATAACCCGAAACTTACACGAAGGCTAAGATGGCCTGAGTAAAGTCGCATAAACTAAAAAGAATGTCAAACAAAAGGTCATGATAGTTAAACCAATATGATTTCAGATTACAGCACACCATAGCTTCACAATGTATTGCATATTTGTGGGTTGAATACCTCCTTTATTACTATTGATAATCCAATTTGACCAACAGCAGGAAAAGAAACCTCCCAGTCCCATAGAAGGGTTTGCGACGATAAATTAAAAAAGAAATCCCTCCTTACTAAGTTAGATAAGGTTGTGCACTATCAAGTAAAATGATTGATCTTTGACCATACATACCTTCATTCAAATGAATTACAGATTAGAACCCACACAACTCTCACAAAAATTTGCTAAGGGAAGCTATATTATGGCTAAACACAGAACTAAATCTAGTCAACTTTGAAAACAGAAAATATGTGACTTCCCTAATTCAATGCTAGAGCATTTACAAGGAACTTCGCTGCACCAACAGCATCACCAATCACATTTATGATTTGAACATGCCTAGAACCTGTCTGGATAAACATTTTCATAATACTTTAAAGACAAGAAGATAAGAATGAAAAATTAAATGAGTTCCTTCATAAACTAAAACTAGTTTAGACATAAAATAATTTGTAAAAGTTCTCTCACGTCACCTTCTCTAAAAAAATGTTAATGGCTAAGGTTAAACTAATTTTAGAATCTTCTTTTATTTTGCATTCTCATTTTTCTTCTTCCAAGAGTGTTTACTGAAATGTTTATCCAAACGTTCCTTAATCATTATAACTATAATCATCTCGTTTCTTCGCCAATGTACACAAAACAAAAGTTGAAAAACAAATCACACCGATAACACAACAATTGGCACAAAAAAGGCGTATATGCAACAGTGAAAACTCACAGAATAGAAAGAGTGATTACTGAAACAACAGAGGCACCACCTTAATTGCCTCAGGCAACTCCTCCACACCGCGACCCGCGAAGCGTTCGTCCAGAAGCAGCAACCTCGTCGAGCCCCTCCACTTGCTACTGACAAATTCTTCTCCCAGCAACTTCCTCATAGCAACACTATCTTCTTCTTCCTCCTCAACAACCTCAACCACGGCAAAACCGTTCTGCCCAACGCGCCTACCGTCTTCCACTTCCATCCCCTCCTTCCTCTTTTTCCTCTTCTTATTCCTGTTCGGCCGCGAAATCTTCGCGAGGTTGCGGAACTTCACGAATCCGCGCGAGTTGAACGTCCTTGCGAGTTTGTCGCGGTACAGAACGGGACTCAGAACGTCGCCATCTCCGTCGGCCTTACCATGGATCCGGCGCTGCACCGAGATGAGAGTTCTTTCTTCTTCGTTATCGAATTCGCCGTCACCGCTAATTGGCTGAGGTAACAGAGGAGCGAGGCTAGGGTCGAGGTCATCGCCGGGGACGCGGGCGATGTTGCGGACGCGGGGCCAGTTGAGGAGGTGGCCGCGGAGTCGGCTTTCGAGGGCGGAGCATTCGGCGGAGGGGACACGGAGGGCGGCGAGGAGGAAGACGCGGGTGAAGACTTCTTCCCGGAGGATGGCATCGTTTTGATTTTGCGATGATTGGGATTGGGAGTGGGAGGGTATAGTACCTTTACGGAGGGAGGGTCCGTAGGAGAGAGGGGTTGTGGAGAAATGTGGGATGAAGAAAGTTGTTGTAAGAGTATGACCAAGGGAGGGCTTGAATGTGTTAGGGAACAAGAATTTTGAGGGAAGGGGAATGAGAAGGGGTTTTAGGAATACGTTGGTCATGGTCATGCCAACCATCCCCTCTGAACTCAAAAACGGGGAAGATTTAACATATGCATTGGGACTCCATACTCATATCATATACATTACACGTTAAGACTCTCACCCAAAAATTTATATTCACGTTAATACTTGTTTAATATTTAAATTATAAGTACTTTATTTAAAAATACAAATATAATTTAAGGATACAAACAATTCAAAAGTTATTCTTAACTTAAAGTTATTAAACATGAAACGTGAAAAATCAGTTTACATTTGATATAATGATTATATATGACACCTTCTTTAAATGTTCATGGTTGAAGAATCTGTTTACCTAAAATGTTACTAGAAAAAAACCTATTGCACAAGAATACTAAACAAGAAAAAAAATATATTCAAGTTTAGGTCTCTATGGCCGAATGACTAAGAACTAAACATTAAAAATCATTCAAATAACTTTACTATCATCTTCCTAAGGCCGACCATGAACTATTGTGCCTAAATAAAAAAACTTGCAGTTTCTTCCTTGATCCTCGTGTTTTTTTCTTGTTACATTTTCTTTCATATCATAGTAGATGTGAAATATGCAAATTTATGGGACAAAGAATTTTAAAATTTCCAAAAATTGAAATATACAATATTTCAATTATTTATAATTGAATTCTTCTAATTTTTAAATAGTATGTGTGGATGGAGTAATTGAAATATTTTAAATTTTAAACTTTTTAGTTTGGATAAAGTTAATTAATTTTTCTTTTTAAGATAAAATTTTCAGACTTATTAATTAGTTCAAGTTTGTAATTATTCATGAAATAATGTGTTTTTCTTATTAAAAAGTTGTAATAAGAAGTAAGAAAGTTGTTTAGGCAATTGTACAGGAACTTATACATCACTGGAGTGCTATTAGATGTTTCTAGCTAAGTCAGCCTTTAATTGCTCAGCTAAAAAGATTATTATTCGCTCAGCGCACCAAAACAATTCGCTGAGCGAATTATGGACAGTTAAAGGATATGTAGTTGATTAATTGCTCAGCGCATGATACCCGTGTGCTAAGCGAATTAATTAAATCAGAATTGGCTTTTAAGTTCGAGACAGACAGAAAGAGATAAAGGAGAGAAGTTACATAGGAAAGAAACGAAAACATCTCAGGAACTTTAGGAAACTACTTCAAGGCATCAAGACACCATATTTGCAAGGGATTGCTTCAAATGTGTACGTTCTAGATGACTAGGAGTAGTTAAATTTCTCTTTCATTGGAATTGGATGTAATGAACTCACTCTGATGTAATTTTCTTGTTCAATATATCGTTGTTCGTTTATATGCTCTTTCTTGAATTTATTATCATTGTATGGAAATATAATGTTATTTGAATGTCTCGGATTACTGAAAAGTAACTTTGAACATGGACAAAGATAGAGCACCCAAGTGATTTGGGATCTAGGGATAGACTCAATAACTTGGTCATTCTTAGCATCGGACTTAATGCAAATTGTATGTTAAATTGATTAATGGATTAGCAGTTTGATATATTAATTTAGAACTAGTTTCTAAGGATTATGACTAGTATACCTTGATGTGAATGTTTGAATGAAATAATGAAATATTGAACAGAGTTTTATATTCACATGATTCATGAAACCAAATTCCAACGAAGTTTCTTTTAAATATAATTCCTTGCACACCAACTGTTTGATAAAATACCAAAAAGAATTTCTTGTGTTATTTTGTGCATTTTGATGTCTAATTGAGTTATAAAAGAAAGAATTGTCATATGTTGCACAAGTCCCTTGGGAGAACGATACTCTAAACTTACTCTTTCTTACTTGGAACAATTTGGTATACTTGCCAAAAGGTTAACAAGTTTTTGGTGTCGTTGCCGGGGACTTGTGTTCCAACATAAGGCAATTTGGGCATATGTGACTCTTTTAGACTTTGTTGTGAATTTTCTTTTTGAATGTTGTTTTGTATGCAGTTCTCTTTAGTTTTTAAGACTTTTCATTGATTTAGTTTGAACATAATGTTTGTCTCAGGGTACTAGAGCTTGATGCAATTATTGAAAGTTCTCAGGGATGAGATTTCAGTAGCGGAACTAACTAAATAAAACCATATGTGCAAATCACCAAGGATGGGGTTGTGTGTTTGGATTCACTGTTTTGGAACTTAAGGCAAGTTTGATGGACTTCTTACACCAAGGGATTGGGTGAGGGTTTGTCATACTTAGGTAGGCACAACAAGAGGGATCTGAGTGTTCTAACTTTAGAAAACAGGGAAAGTGGAATTCCTTGTCAATTGTATGTCTATTTTGTTTGTATTTCTTTTATGCAGTTTGCCTACAGATGTTTCTAGTTGTTGGAAGATTCTAGGGATGGGATTTCAGCAGCCGAAAGGGGAGTACCAAGTGATCTTGCAACAAGAGGGATCTAAGTGAGGTTATTTAGGAAATCCATTTCAATCATTCTTCATATTGGAACTGTTGTTTGATTGGTGTGCTCACGTTCTGCAAAGGTCAGTGGGAAAGAAAGGCTGAAGCAATGAGGATGGAAGTGTTCAAGCCAATTCTTTGTGCTCCCCCGATTTCAGTCTCTACACTACAATTTTCATTGGTTGGACCAAGCACTTTGTGCAACTCTGGTTTTTTCTATTTTCACTATTATTCTTTGAATTTTATTTTTATTTATTTTCAGTTTATGTCCCACAATTGTTAGCCACACACCCCTATGTTTTATTTTGTCGTGGTTTGATTGTATTTGTTACATTTTAATTGTTCACATGCACACACATCTTAATTGTTCACATGTATACATATTTTAATTGTTCACATGCACACTCATCTTAATTGTTCACATGCACATATCTTATTTGCTTATCACACACTTTTGATTGTTGATTTTGTCGTTGATGCACCGTTGTGAATCTCGTTAATTCTAAAATTTCTTGTTATTTTTGGTTATCATGTTAAATCTCGAACTTACTTGGTAATTAAGTTTTTCATAATAATTAAAAAATATAGATTATCATGTCAAGTTTCAGACTTGTTTGATAATCACCTTTTCAAAATAATTTTGGTTGTCATGTCAAGTCTCGGATTTGTTTGACAATTGAACTTTTCATAATAATTAAAAGTAATTTTTATCATGTCAAGTCTCGAATTTATTTGATAATTAAATTAAAAAATATAAAAATGTTTTCATTACAAATAAGTGTAAATATTTGTGTGATTTATCTTTTGCATCTTAATTTTTATAATCAATTCAAAAATCACAAAAAAAAACCTTCAAAAAATCATCAAAAATAATTTTATCTTCCAACTGTGTGTCGAGCTTATTGATTTCATCATGATATTGTTTTTTCTTCCAAAATAACAAAAAAATCAAAAATCTCCAAAATATAAAAATATCAACTTTTTTTCAAATGGCAACGAGCCAGAACTACGTTATCCTTGATTCTTCATCAAAAATGGAGATACGTAGGAGCAAGGCAATGCCTTGTCAGGTTCATCTCCCCAAAAATCCAAAATTATCCTTAATCATTTTCCAAATAAAATTTCCAAAAAATTTCTCAATTTTTCAAAAATATTTTTCTTCCATTTGTATTGTCTTGTAGTGTTATTTTCGGGGAAAATAACTATTTTGAAAACCACATCAACTTTGCACGGTTAATTAAAGGTATTGCCTTCGGGCAGGCGCTGTAGGGTGCTAATGCCTTCCCTACGCGTAACCGACTCCCGAACCCAAGATTTCACAAACATTGCCTTATTTTATGATTTTTTCGTAGTTTTCCAGAATAAACTATGGTGGCGACTCCAAACTCTGATTTTTCAGAACTCTTTATTATTTTTTAAACGAGTTTCGCCAGCCTCCCTATCGTGATCCCGGTTGTGACACTCGCTAAGCCAACCTTTAATCGCTCAGCTAAAAAGATTATTATTCGCTCAGCGCACCAAAACAATTTGTTGAGCGAATTATGGACAATTAAAGGATATGCAGTTGATTATTCGCTCAGCGCATGATAGTTGTGCGCTGAGCGAATTAATTAAATCAGAATTTTCTTTTAAGTTCGAGATAGACAGAAAAAGATAAAGGAGAGAAGTTCTGGACAGAGGAAAGAAACGAAAACATCTCAGGAACTTCAGGAGTTACGTTATAGATGACTAGGAGTAGTTCAATTTCTCTTTCGTTGGAATTGGATGTAATGAACTCACTTTGATGTAATTTTCCTGTTCAATATATCGTTGTTCGTTCATATGCTCTTTCTTTAATTTATTATCATTGTATGGAAATATAATGTTATTTGAATGTCTCTGATTACTGAAAAGTAACTTCGAACATGGACAACGATAGAACACCCAAGTGATTTGGGATCTAGGGATAAACTCAATAACTTGGTCATTCTTAGTATCAGATTTAGTGCAAATTGTATGTTAAATTGATTAAGGGATTATCAGTTTGATATATTAATTTAGAACTAGTTTCTAAGGGATTAGGACTAATATACCTTGATGTGAATGTTTGAATGAAATATTGAACAAATTTTTATATTCATATGATTCATGAAACCAAATTCCAATGAAGTTTCTTTTAAATATAATTCTTTGCATACCAACTGTTTGATAAAATACCAAAAAAAGTTTCTTGTGTTGTTTTGTGCATTTTGATGTCTAATTGAGTTATAAAAGGAAGAATTGTCATATGTTAGACAAGTCCCTTGGGAGAACAATACTCTGAACTTACTCTTTATTACTTAGAACGATTTGGTATGCTTGCCAAAATGTTATCAGTCTCAACATTTAGATTTAGCTTATTCAACTCGATCTTCGATCCAATTCAACTCGTTTAAACTTTCGACCGTGATCGACTATGTTCATCTTACATCCTGACTAAATCGGCTAAATCTTTAGTGTCGAAGGTTAAGTTAAGTCAATCTAAGTCAAATGGTTAAATCAAGTCGATTATCGCGAAAGCTCGAGCTATGTCGATTCAGGTAAAAGTCTAGTTGAATCAACCATGACCAAAGGTTAAGACTATTAGACCATAACTAGAGGTTGAGACTAGTCAGCGTTAATCGAAAGTTAAAAAGAGTCGTGTCGAAGGT